ACCCTAAACCCTAAACCCTTGGGCACGCTGAACGGGAACCGGAGGTTTCCAAGGAGTTCCGATCTTTAAACGAAATCCGAAGCCGAAGCCCGCAAAAGCCCTAAACTGGGGTTCTTGTTAATGCCGCAGTTTAGGGTTTAGGGTTTAGGGAGTTATCATAATAAAGAAACCGTGCTAATTTCGATAGACCCCAGGTATGGTATCTTAAGTTCTTTAACAGGAGCCCAGTAAACCCTCCCTGTGAGGCGGTGTTCTTTTGCGCATCGACCTGCAATCTCTGCCACCTGCACCTCGGCGTGTCAACTTTTTTCTCAAGAGTCTCCTTACTCGGGTACTTATAAGGGTTTGCCGAACAGTTGCTATTCAGGTTAATCACTATCATGCCTACTATACGCTTTACTATAAGGTCTCCTGGAGGAACTAGAAGGATTGCCATAAAGGCTACTGTCAGGGTTTAGGGATTGAGGGGCTTACTAAGCGGGTGCCCATGACAGGCAGAAGTACCCTAAACCCTAAACCCTACAAACCCCGAAGCCCAGCCAGAATTCCTAGGTTCATCATGAGGACTTGGACGGGTTTTGGGGTAGGAGACCCTAAACCCTAAACCCTAAACCCTAAACCCTATTTAGGGTTTAGGGTTTTAGGGCCTTGCTGGGTTATACTGGAAGCATTCACCTTATTGAAGGTATCCGTTTAGGATTTAGGGCCCAACCCCTAACTACTGCTTCGGGGTTGGGGTTGCGTTTGCCGAAATCCTAAAACCCGAATTAAGCCCGCAAGCCTGAGACCCTGCACCAAAAAAATCCTGCCAAGCCCCAAGCACCCTAAACCTAAAACCCTACAACCCCAAACCCTAAACTCATCCATAATGTGGAGAACATCCAAGTGTTGCTTGGGGCTGCTCTTTGGACTACCTTTACAGGGTTCTATAAGAGTTTAAAAGGATTTATGAGAGTTTAGGTCTTAGGGCTACTTAGAGGATCATGGGACTTAGTATGCAAGGTTATATGCACCCTAAGTGGGGTTGAAGGTAATTGTAAGTATAGAAACCGCATTTATCACCCTGGTTACCAAGCCCCTTGATCCTCCAAGTAGGCTCTAGGGGCCCTAAACCCTAAACCCTAAACCCTAAACCCTAAACCCTAAACCCTAAACCCTAAACCCTAAACCCTAAACCCTAAACCCTAAACCCTAAACCCTAAAGGGTTTGCGGCCTGGGGCTTCGGGCTTTCGGTCTGGAGTTTAGGGGCTTAGGGTTTGGGGTTTAGGGTTTAGGGTTTAGGGTTTAGGGTTTAGGGTTTAGGGTTTTAGGGTTTAGGGTTTAGGGTTTAGGGTTTTGGGGTTTACGGTTTAAAAACCGGGCAGCCTAGACTTTGTCTAAAGACCGGAAAAGCAAATGTGGATTGATGTTCATTCAGTGTGATTTCTTCGGTCCATTACCGTGACAGTCTAGGCCCTAAACCCTAAACCCTGAATCCTAAACCCCAACCCCTAAACCCTAGAAGCCCCAAGACTGCATGATGCGAAGTATCGAGCAGCAACCTGTGCGGTTGCTCAGTGATGGGGTGTAGGGTTGCCGGTTAAGGGCTTAGGGATTACTTGAAGGATGAGGGGACTGAGTAACTGGCGTTTAGGGTTTAGAAGTTACGATTTAGGGTTTAGGGTTTACGATTTGGGTTTTAGGGTTGAGGGTTGAGTAGCTAGGGCTATAAATAAGGTATCTAGAGTTATAATTACTTATAGCTCCAGTTAGGGTGGTTGCAACCCTACTTGCCAAGGCCCATGATCCGCCGAGTACCCTAAACCCATGTGTGAAAGGCCGATGCACCCCCTAAAAAAACACCTTATACAGCACCCCCCCCCCTATATGTCCCTTAAGGGGACCCTTTAACGGATCCTTATTAAAATTCCTGAACCTTATAAGCCCTTATACATATAGTACCCCTATATGTCCCTTAAGGGGACCCTTCTAAAGGATCCTTATTCTAATTCCTGAACCTTATAAGCCCTTATACATATATAGTACCCCTAAAGGTCCCTTAAGGGGACCCTTCTAAAGGATCCCTACTCCAAAAACCCTAAACCCTAAACCCTAAACCCTAAACCCTAAACCCGTTTACAGAGTCTCGCGTCCCTGTTGTGCTCACCGGCCGCCTGCAGCTTCACTGTCTCTGCACTGTGACACGTCTCTGCGGTCCTTGTGTTGTGGGTTTAGGCTTTTTCTTGTCTGTGACGCTTACATCGTGGTTCGATATTGTTGTGTGTCCTCTCAAAAGCCACGGCTTCTTTGAGGAACATCAAATCATCTGCCTGCTGGTAGGCGTTCTGTCAATGTCATTCTCTTGCCATGTCGTCTGCGCAGTTTCTGTGATGTTCTTCTCAGTGGCCCTATTCTGTGCTGCTCATTCGAGGATGACAAGACAATGACAGAATGCCCGCCAAGACCGGCAAGGCCCAATCAGACTTGAAATGATGAATCCCACGACGATGGCAGGCCCAAATATCCGAGCAGCGACAGTTCATTGCTGGGCTTTTCAGTACTGGCCTCCCAGCTGCTTTGCATAACAGCCTCTGGCCCGTAAGAGGCTTTAAGAGGCATTCGAGATTCTAGGTTTACCTTAAACTACCACAACCGACTTTTTTTGTAGGTTCTCATTAAAAAGCCCTAATAGGGGATTTATTGGGGCCCTACAACAAAGTAGGTGTTGGTAGGTTAAGGTAGACGCCAAAACCCTACAGCCCGAAACCTAAGACCCTAGACCCCAGACCCCAGACCCTAAACCCTAAACCGTGACCCTAGACCCAAAGCCCCACAGGTTGAAAGTCTAAGCCACCAACTAGCTGCAAAGCCTACCTGGACCCTGAAGAACCTAGCTTTTTAGGGCTCCTTATTATGACTTCTTTATATAAGACCTTAGACAGGTAGTTTACTTGGGGTTAGGGTAGACCCGACCCCCCAAACCCCTACTATTCAGGCCCATCATGCCTAGACAGCCAAGCCCTCCTTCCCTACCATTCAAGCAGGGCCCACCTATAAACCCGTTGCATCCGGGCGGCGCGCAGGAGGTCTGGATTGTATTGCTGTAACCTGGTCCCGACCGGCGGATTTTTCCATAGTAGGTGACCGGTTTAGGGTTCAGGGTTTAGGTCTGGAAACCGCCTTGAGGCTTGTAGGCTTCATGTCACTACGCTGCTGTTTGGGCTATCACTGCTGCAGCACAGAAACACAGCAACAACCGGACCCTAACACCCTAAATCAAATACATATGCTTTCAACATCACCGCGACGCCTCACCAAAGCTCAGACCATAAACCCAAATATACTAATATAGGAGTCTCAGGATATGGTATGGCATCAGCATTTGGTGACGGGTGTGATGCGAAGTGTCATCCTATACTGGACGGCGTATCCCAATTGGATAACAGGTGTTCTCATCACGCCTGTTGCCAAAAACACTTTTTTAAAAAAGGTTTCTCAACGACAATTCAACCTACATCCTAAAGCCTCAACCCTGATGTAGGGGCCTAATATTAGAATAGGGCTTTGGGGTATATCATCCGATAATAATAACAAGATGGAACCCCCAAAATACTAAACCCTCAACCCTAAACCTTAACCCTAAACCCTAAACCCTAAACCCTAAAACCGAAACCTAATACTACAGGTAATGATTCAAGCTTCTATATTAGCACCGGATGCAAGGCTGCAGCCAGGAAGCGTGGTACAGGAGGCGGGTCGATTTCTCCATCGGGGCATGCGACAACCTTGACAAGATACGAACATATACGTATATATATATATATATACATATGTGTATATATATATACACATACATATACATGTGTGTATATCATACATATATGTATATGTATGTGTTGATTAGTTTTTTGCTGGTGGGGTTTAGCTTTCGGGTTCGGGGTATGCCTTGGGACTTCAAGGTTTAGGCTTTGGGATTTTTGGCTGGGTTTAGGGTTCACGGCTTGAGATACCAGTTCGGGTTTATGGTATGTTTGATTTCGTCCTGCCTGCGCCGAGCATTTTGGGTTGGACATGTGCATGGGGCCAACCTAGATCAGGAAGACAAGGTTGTTTGCAGCAATAGTTCTTTTTCAATTCAACTATGGCGATGCAAGGCTTTAGCAGGGAGTTGGAAGCTTTTGTCTGATCCCGTCGGGTGATTTAGCAACTTGGGCGATGAGCAGGTTTATTCAGGGTTTAGGGCTCAGGGGGCGCAGGCCGAACACCGTATATACGAAGAGCTTAACTTAACCCAGGCCTGCCACACGCCAACTTCATCGGGCCAATTTCGTGGATCAGAGCCGTCGCAAATGGGGAAACCAACCTCGACTAGTCAATTACGGCTTTGGATTGCAGCTCTCATGGGAGAGTTCTCCATGGACTTAGGGTTTAGGGGTTTAGAGGTTTAGGGTTTAGGGGTTTAGGGTTTAGGGTTTAGGGTTTCTGGCATCTGGTTTCGGGTTTGGGATTGGGATTTGAGGATGTTTGGTGTATAGGGCTTACAAAGGGTGTACGGGTGGACTATGGGGGATGTAGTGGGACTTCGTAGAGGTGCAGGGTTGAGACCCGTCTAAGTTTGGTTCGACTGGTAAGCAAACAAGCATACTCCCTCATCGTCTCCATTGTAATTCCCTTTTCGTGGCATAACCGATTATAGATTAAGGATCCTATCATGTAACCCCAAAAAGGAACTACAATGGGAGACTATAAACCCTAAGCTCTACACCCTTAAATCCTGAACCCTAAACCCTGCGCGCCTAAACCCAAACCCCCACAGCCCAAACCCTTATATCAACCCTGGCCCATCAAGCCTAAACCCCTCAACCCCGAACCCCGAAACCCGATCCTCAAACCCTAAACTCGTACTGTCCTAGAATTCAAGAGTACTACCATTAAAGCAGGCTTTCTAGAGAGAGAGAGAGATATATATATATATAATATGAATGTATGTATATATATATATAGAAAAACAATGTCATAAGAAACCCAGGACAAGGAGTGACACACTGGATCCCCAACACCAAGACATGAGAAAACACGGGACCCCCAAAAAGACCCAACAAAGCCCCAATCCCTAACCCTGGAACCCTATAACCCGTGTAGAACCCTGATGGAGCCCTTATAGATCCCCCTACAGCACCCTAAACCCTAAACCCTAAACCCGAGACCCTAAACCCTAAACCCTAGACCCCCAAAAGAGCAGACGAGAGACAGGGCCGGTTTGAAAGTCCCAGCACTCAAAGGTGGCCGACCACTGCTCCCCACCCTCCCTGGAAAAGGCAACGTGCGAGATGGGGTGTGGGGTTTAGGGTTTAGGGTCTAGGGTTTAGGGTTTAGGGTTTACGGGTTTAGGGGTTTAGGGTTCAGGGGTTTAGGGTGTGGGGTTTAGGGTATAGGGTTTAGGGTTTAGGGGTTTAGGGTTTGGGGTTTTAGGGTTTAGGGTTTGGGGCTTTTTGGCTACAAGGGCCGTCAAAGAGTTTTGCAGGGTTTGTCGAAGGGCGTTTCAAGGTTCTGCAGTTGTTTGTAGGTCTTCACAAACGTCTTTCAAGGGTCTTTAACAGGATGTTGTAGGGCTTCGTAAAAGGTCTTTCAAGGTTTTCCTGAAGTGGTTACATGGCTTTGTCAGGGTTCATGGGTCGCGGGGTTTGCAAAGTGTAAGATATGCATTTCGGATTTTGGGGATGGAGAGTTGAAATTCGGGTTTGGGGCATTTGGCGCCGACAGGTTTGCAGGGTTCAGGCCTGAGGGTTCGGGGGACGCCATTCCAGTGCCAGTTTGGGTCTTGGATACTATTTCGAACTGTACAAAAATGCTTTCCCAACCGCGTGTGAGGCTCTGTCAGTAAATGCGGTCGGAAACCTAAACCCTAAACCCTAAACCCTAAACCCAAACCCTAAACCTTAAACCCTAAACCCGAGCTTGACCTGAACACGGTGCATGAGTCGACGATGAGTAACAAAAATAGAAGACAATAAGAGCAAACTACCCACATAGGCCCCATAGTAGTTCCTTTTGGGGATCCCCTAATAGGATCCTAAATATAAGCCACAAAAAGGAACTACTGTGGGGCCTATATGGGTATGTAGTATATCATGTAGTCTATACCCTAAACCCCAAATTATATAGATCTGCATTCCGAAGTTCCACAAAAAAGCACCAAAGGCTGAAAGCCCCCGGATCCCTAACCCCCGAAGCCACTAGGGGCCGAAACATAAAGCACTAAACTCTAAAATAGGGTGCCATGAACCCCGTCCCCTAAGAAAAGTTTAAGGTTTTAGGATGGCTTAGGAGTTTAGGGTTTAGGGTATGCCATGACTGCAACGACTTACCAACTTGTATGTGCGCCCCGTAGGCGGCGATGGCATGGTGTCTGAACGAAGAAGCCAGACCATGTCCGCAGTTCGTCCACGACAGCCGGCCTGTGAGGTGGAGCTCATGAGAAACCTCAAGTCAGACCTAATCCTGAGTCTGTTGGGGCCGGCCACTCCGTCAAAGCCACGACAGTGGAGGCAAGTCGGAGAGTTGCAAGTCTGGAGAGTGGTGGCTCCCCAGAGGCCCCATGGTAGTTCCTTTTTGGTGGCTTTTAAAATGAGGAGCATATTAGGGAATCCCAAAAAGGAACTGCTATGGGGCCTATGGGTCTTCATGGAGTGATCACTGGAGGAGACGTTACGCGACGTCCAGGATCTCTTGCTTGGGGAGACTCGCCAGAAGCGGTTTAGGGTTTAGAGTTTGGGGT